TTTCTATAAGTAGTGAATCACATTTATTTATACCTTTCAGTACCTACGACTCTACCGCCGACAACGTCAGTGACAACTGAGGGTACGTTATTAACTTATAAATGTGCTTATATTATGCTAAAACTTATCAATAATAACTAAATGTTTTGAATTTCATTGTTATGTACTTTAAAATATGTATGTTATAATAAATTAGTTAAAGTTTGTTAATTATATACGTAGTAAATAATTTTTTTTTCTATACAACCCAGATTCTACAACACTACTGCCGACAACATTAGTGACAACTGAGGATACATAATTAATTTATTAATACATTATATTTGATAAAATTTATTCAATAATAACTAACCGTTTCGAACTTCATTGCTATTATAACTTTTAAATATGTAAGAATGAATTAGTTCAGTACTGTTGAATATTTACGTATGCAGTAAATCACATTTTTGTACTTCTCAGTACCTACAACACTACAGCCCACTACATCAGTGACAACTGAGGGTACGTTGTTAACTCTTTATTATGTTATATATAACATGTTTCCGGTATATTGTAATGACATAAATGTTATCAAAATTAGAAAAAAGTTACTAATTTCATTGTTTGATGCCTTTTTAGTATGGTATGTTATAAATTAGCAACAGTTAAATATTCACATATGAAAGTAAATAACAATTGCATTATTCTAAGTACCTACAACAACAGCATTGCGAAAACATCTTTAACAAGTTAGGGTACGCTCTTATTTCATTGTTTTATACCTGCACAATAGGTTAAAATAAATTTCAAATTTGTTAAGTTTAATCGAAACATTCGCATGATTTTATACCTTTCAGTACCTACAACACTACCGCCGACAACGTCAGTAACAACTGAGGGTAAGTAGTTAATGTTGTATATGCTATATGCTTAATGTTATTAATAATATCTAATTAATATATTATATTGCTTTTAAATGTGTTATAATACATGAGCTCTAGTCTAATATCTCCATATGCAGTAAATCCCATTGTTTACACTTCTCAGCACCTACAACACTATCGCCCACTACATCGGTGACAACTGAAGGTACGTTCTTAACTTATTATTATGTTATATATTATAAAATTTATCAATAACAACTAAAAACTTCGATTTTCATTGATTTATACCTTTGAGTTATGTCATAAGAAATTAGCTACTGTCTGATTTTTATGAGCAGTGAATCACATTTATTTATACCTTTCAGTACCGCCGACTCTACCGCCGACAACGTCAGTAACAACTGAGGGTACGTTATTAACTTATGAATATGCTTATATTACACTAAAACTTATTAATAATAACTAAATGTTTTTGAACCTCTTTGATATATACTTTGAAATATTTTACAATAAATTAGTTACTGATTTTTAATTTACAAGTAATTTCTTTTTATATTCTCAGTACCTACAACACTACAGCCGACAACGTCAGTGACAACTGAGGGTACGTAATATTGTATATGCTTTAAATTATTAATAATAACTAAATGTTTTGATAATATTATTATATTGCTATGAAATGTGTTATAATACATGAGCTACTGTTTAATAAATTCATATGCATTAAATCCTATTATTTATACTTCTTAGCACTCACAACACTAGCGCCCACTACATCAGTGACAACTGAAGATACGTTCTCAACTTAATATTATGTTATATATGATAAAATTTATCAATAACAACTAAAAATTTCGATTTTCATTGATTTATACCTTTGAGTTATGTTATAAGAAATTAGCTACTGTTTGATTTTTCTATAAGCAGTGAATCACATTAATTTATACCTTTCAGTACCTACGACTCTACCGCCGACAACGTCAGTGACAACTGAGGGTACGTTATTAATTCATAAATATGCTTATATTATACTAAAACTTATTAATAATAACTAAATATTTTTGAATGTCATAGTTATATTCTTTGAAATATTTTACAATAAATTAGTTACTGATTTTTAATTTACATTCATACTAAGTAATTTCTTTTTATATTCTCAGTACCTACAACACTACAGCCGACAACGTCAGTGACAACTGAGGGTACGTAATGTTGTATATGCTTTAAATTATTAATTATAACTAAATGTTTTGATAATATTATTATATTGCTATGAAATATGCTATATTACATGAGCTGCTGTTTAATAATTTCACATGCATTAAATCCCATTACTTACACTTCTCAGAACCTACAACACTAGCACCCACTACATCAGTGACAACTGAGGGTACGTTCTTAACTTATTATTATGTTATATATGCTAAACGTTATCAATAACAACTAATAATTTCGATTTTCATTGATTTACGCCTTTGAGTTATGTCATAAGAAATTAGCTGCTGTTTAAATTTTCCATAAGCAGTGAATTACATTGTTTATACCTTTCAGTACCTACCACACTACCACCGACAACGTTAGTGACAACTGAGGGTACGTTATTCAATCATACATATTTTTATATTATGCTAAAATTTATTAAAAACAATTGATTGTTTTTAACTTCATTGTTATATTCTTTAAAATATGTTATAATAAATTAGTTACTGTTTATTAATTACATACGTAGTAAATAATTTTTTTCCATACAACCCAGAATCTACAACACTACTGCCGACAACATCAATGAAAACTGAGGTTACATAATTAATTCATTAATACATTATATTTAATAAAATTTATTCAATAATAACTATGTGTTTCGAACTTCATTGTTATATATCTTTCGAATCTGTAAAGATAAATTTGATCTACAACAATTATAATCTACAACACTACTTCCGACAGCATCAGTGACAACTGAGGATACATAAAAGTCATTAATACATTATATTTGATAAAAGTTATTCAGTAATGACTAACCGTTTCGAACTTCATTGCTATATATCTTTCAAATATGTAAAGATAAATTAGTTCAGTACTGTTTAATATTTACGTATGCAGTAAATCATATTTTTCTTATTTCTCAGCATCTACAACACTACAGCCCACTACATCAGTGACAACTGAGGGTACGTTGTTAACTCTTTATTATGTTATATATAATAAAAGTTATCAAAATTTAAAAAAATATACTAATTTCATTGTTTTAATCCTTTCAAGTATGGTATGTTATAATTTAGCAACAGTTTAATATTCACATATGAAAGTAAACAACAGTTGTATTATTCTAAAGAACTATCAACAGCACCGTGACAATAACTTTAACAAGATAGGGTACGCTTTTTAAATTATTTATATGTTATTTATGCTAAAAGTTATCAATATCAATCAAAAGTTATTGAATTTCATTTTTTTATACCTGAAATAGGTTACAATAAATTAGCTACTGTTTAATCGAAAAATTAGCAGTAATTCGCATGTTTTTATACCTTTCAGTACCTACAACACTACCACCGACAACGTCAGTAACAACTGAGGGTATGTAGTTAATGTAGTATATGCTATTTGCTAAATGTTATTAATAATATCTAAATAATTCTGATTACATGATTATATTGCTTTTAAATGGGTTGTAATACATGAGCTCCAGTCTAATATTTACATATGCAGGTGATCCCATTTTTTACACTTTTCAGCACCTACAACACCTGTCTCTTATACACATCTAGATGTGTATAAGAGACAGTGCCTACAGTAAATGCTCGAATAAGCGCCGCAGCGCTTATAAAAACATATTGGCATATCGTTTTAGATGCCTGTTCCTATGTTAACTATTTCACATATTTCAGTAGGCCTACCATAGGTTCTATCATCGTTCTTTTCGTTTATAAAGAAAACCTTGTATCTTCATTGTGTTACTTATTCATTTTAACACTGTATATATTGTATTTAAAACCCTGTTTTCTCAAAGTGTTTCATTACACACAGGGTAATACATGTACTCTTGATTAAGCGCAGTGGCGCTTATTTGAGAGTGATGCTTAGCTAAGTTTGAGAGTGGCGATTATTCAAGCATCTACGGTAATAGTATTTATTGAAAATAGTTCCTTTCAACATGCAATTAAATATTATACCTGTATTTGAATTTAAGGAAGCTAAAGAAATATATTGATAAAGACTATTGATAAAATAATGGCATAAAAATATATTACAAATATTCAGAAGTTGGAATAACCTACAGTTGTGATAATATTAACTAAGTGTGAGGGGTAAAGTACACTAACAAAGTGTGTAGACATCATATTTAAGGGGTATATCATTTATGAGCATGAACAAGCCAATAGGGTTAATCACATTTACTGCATGTGGTTATTTAACAGCATAAGGAACAAAACTATATGAATGGACTAAGCAAGTCTATAGTCGTAAAAGTGTCTGACCAAAATGTAAGGTTCTACTATAACAAGCATGATATGTGCATTCAAAACAGTGTACCAACGAACCTGAACAATTTTGTTAAATGTACTCCCAGCCCTTGACTGACTGGACAACATAAAAGGTCACTAAGAAAGGGCATCTAAGAGTAGCTCAACCCAATCAAGCAAGGTGCCTTGCAACAACAACGCTGCACAGGTTAACATCAGATGCAAGATCAGGCTGCATATAGTTCAAACAACATGATTCTGGCCTGGGGCTGTCTCTTATACACATCTAGATGTGTATAAGAGACAGGGTGATGTACTGTACTGATCTACAACAATTATAATCTACAACACTACTTCCGACAGCATCAGTGACAACTGAGGATACATAATTAAGTCATTAATACATTATATTTGATAAAAGTTATTCAGTAATAACTAACCGTTTCGAACT